ACTCCTTGGAAGAAAAGCTATGACCAACTTAGACAGCATATTAAAAAGCAGACATTACTTTGCCAACAAAGGTCCATAAAGTCAAAGCTATGGCTTTTCCAACAGTCATGTACAGATGTGAGAGCTGAACATAAAAAAGGTTGAGTGCCGAAGAACTGATGCCTTCAAATTGTGGTGTTGGAGAAGCCTCTTGATAGTCCCTTAGACTGCAAGGAGATCCAACCAGTCCATCCTAATAGAAATCAACCTTGAATATTCATTGGAAGGACTGATGCTGAAGCTGAAACTCTAATACTTTGGCCACCTGATGTGAAGAGCTGACTCATTAGAAAAGACCCTGATGCTGGGAAATCTTATAGAACCCAAAACAGGTGCTGATCATGAAATCAGAGGCCTCTGAGAATCTAATATTCATTGATCAATGCTGGTGAGAGTCAACCATTCTTAATAGTTTTATGACAAGAAACATAATTGATGTTTATGCTTCAAATAATTCATCAAACCCAGAAGAGTTAAGATGCTGATAAAATCATCTGTCAATTTTATGTATTTATTGGTAAAGAGCAAATTTTGTCCTTTTATTTTGAATATAATAATTTTAATATTTATATTAGGGAGAATGTAAAAGAACAGAAGGTACTCTTCATACTTCTGACTTAGAAAGTAACCTAAACTAAAAGTAGAACTGTGTCAAACAAAACCGAGTCTACAGAGACCACAACTGGCTGACAGTGACAAGGTAAGAGACACTTGGATGGGAAGACTTTCTTGGGAATAAAGCCAAAATACATAGTGTATGTTGTGAAGAAAAATATTTTATGAGTAGACTTGAGGTTGTAAACCATAAAAGGGCACAGAATGAAAAATATAAAGATTAATCACAATTGTACTTGGGCCTGTATACTTAATAGATTAATGAAATCGTACAAACCAGAATCAAAAGGAATAATTTTTGGAAAATATTTAAAGAAAGAGATCAAGATTATTCTTATTGAATATTTGAAAGTGTTCAAGATGAATTTTATATCACCCTTGAATATGATCTATTACTGGTAGTTAATTTTGGATACAGACTTTACTGATATGCAACAAAAATAACAAATATTATAGTGAAGGTGGGCCACTACTGAAAAGAAACTTTTAAAAATAACTGATACACTAAAGTATAGAAATTGGAATCACATAAAAGCTCAACTAATTTTTCCAGTTTTATTGAGGTATTAATATGAATGACCAATAAACATTATATATATTTAAGGTGTGAAATGTGATATTGATATCTATGTACATTGTGAAATGATTCCCCCAATCAAGCTAATTAGCCTAAAAACCACAAACAGAGAAAAAAGAGTATAAAACAGAAACAAGAGGGGGAAAAAAGGCCACAAATAGAAAACAGTAACAAATATGGTAGATATTAATCCAATCACATCAATAATTACTTTGCATATCAACAGTCTAAAATCACCAGTTAAAAGGCAGAGATTATCAGTGTGGACCAAAAACCAAACCCCAACAATATGTTATTTAAAGAAACCCACTTTAAATACAAAGACACACAGGTTAAAGTAAAGGAACTGAGAAGAAAATACCTTGGTAACATTAATCAAAATAAAGTGGGAGTGGCTATACTAATTACAGACAGAGTAGAGTTCAGAGCACAGAAAGGTATCAGGGATTAAGAAGGGAATTACATAATGATAAAGGCATCATTATATCCAGTGATAAAGGTGTCATTGTGCTCCAAGCTTAAGTCTCTTAATTCTGAGATACATCATGCAAAGATCTGGCCTTTGTTCCTCACTCCCACTAAACTCCCCACGACATAAGTAAACTTAAACCTTAGTCTGAAGAGCTTGCAATTTCCCAAGTGGACGTAGCTTGGAGCATTTAAACTTAACTTCCACTTCATTGCATTTATCTAGACCTCAACTCCCTCACTCTCTCTTTAATTGCCCTCTGGTTTACCATAATATCTTACCATCGTCATTATAAGATTATGGCTGTTAGACACACAGATCCTAGCACCCAGAAATAACACAGTGTATTCCAAAGAGCAGATGCCCAATTAGTGTTAAGGGAATAAATGAGCCAGGGAGCATGTTATCTAATTTATTAAGATTTAATTTCTCCTAAATTCTTAGCTAAGCTAAACAAATGCAGGTATGTGTCATTTAATTTTTACTGTACAACAGACTAAAGATAAGGAAGATAGGAAGTGACAATCTTTTACTTTATTTTGCTCTATTTCTTGATCCCAACGATTTTTCTACTGACTTACTTTTCTAAAGTAACACCTATTCCAGTGTCATGTTACCCATTCTGAATCAAAAAATAAGAATGAAGATGTCCCACTTTGATTCATAAAATATAAAAATTCCTATTTGCAAACTTGATACACAGCAGTAAATGTATAAACAAGTGATTCATAAATGTACTCAGAAGCTATTTAAACCGTCTATTAAAAGAGTCAATATTTGAAAAATAATGAACAGAGAGAGACAAAGACAGACACAGTGATACAGAGAGACAATTAGAGAAATAAAGATCTCCAAAGTACCACATAAATAGGAAAATAAAGATGGTATACATCCATGAAAAAGGAAGTGATATCCAGGGATCTGAGATGCTCTAAGGCGGGTGGGGGTGGGGGGAGAGGGCAGCAGAAGATATCGACTGTCAACTCCACTGAGAGCAGAGTGTAGCCCTGAGAGGAGGCTGCAGAGCAGAGCTGGTCAGCAGGAGGCCAGGTTCCAGAGCTGGAAGGAGGACACACTGGGGAAGGCTGGGGTCAGGAGAGGAGAGGATGCTGTAATGGTGGAAAGAACTGGAGCTGAACAAAATGCTGGTTTCTGGACAGAGTTAGCTCTCGGTCGGATCCTAGGAAAATGAAACCCAGGGACGGTTCCCACGTACTGATCTGTTCTCATATATTCACTCTCCCCTTCAGTAGACTTGACTTTAGCACTTTAACTTCAAGTGCCTTTTTATTATTTGAGATACATAGTGCAAAGAAAAGTGAATTAAGAGACAGGTCTGCCCCAGGCTGGGAGGAGTGAAACACTATGGCCTGTAGACAAGTTCAGATGAGGAGTCTATTCCCAGCTCTGCTAATAACCAGTCTTGTGAACTTAAGAAAACTCTGAGTTCTTCATCTGCTGAGTTTGGTAAGCCCTACCTTGTAAGATGGTTGAAATGCATGTACCATATATAAATCACATGGCAAGAGGACCAGCAAATGTCACCCAATATTTAAAGAATAGCAGTAATTAATATTTTGATCTCAGATGATACCATTTACCTCCCTTGGAATGTTTTTTTTTTTTTAATTCAGGAAGTTTCAAAGAATATGTAATATTTTAAAGAATACTGAATCAACCAAAAAGTCTCTCTAGCTGGCAAAACTAACTTTACCCATTTGAGCATTTATCATTTGATTTAGGTATGGACTTGTTGTCCCTAGCTGGGTACAGCTCAAGCTCCTAGATGTCATCTATCTAGGAGATTAACCCTACCATCCCTTCCAGGTGCCCTTGCATCCAAATCAGCTCTGTTTACATTCATTACACTCTCATAAAAAAGCTATCCTTCAAGAGTTTGCCAAACTCTACTTAAGATAACCTAGTTAAAATGCCTTTATAATGGATCAGACACTGGCTCTCCCAGTTTGGGGCAAACAGTGCCAGCACAGTAGTTTCTTGGCATCTCACCTAAGGGGATCATCTCCATTATTTTTCATAAACTCCCTGGAAATGATGTGCATAGAACACCTAGTTTGCACACTGTGTTCATCTGCACTAGAACAAGAGCAAAGGACACCTTCCATTCCTGCCCCTGGTAGAGATTTTTCTAGTTTATCCACAGTCCCAAAATAATTTGTAGCAGCAGTTTTCCACTGTAGACTAGATGTTCGTGTCCCTGACAAAATTCATGTGTTGAAGCCCTAACCGTTTTCTCCTTCCCACCATGTCCATGCAATTGTATTTGAAGGTGAAAGTTTAGGGAGATAATTAGGTTTAGATGAGGTCATGAGGATGGGGCACCCATGATGCAATTAGTTATCTTAGAAGAAGAGCAAGAGAGACCAGAATTCTCTCTCTCCATCATATGAGGACAGAGAGAAGGTGGCCAGAAAGAGAGCTCTCATCAGGAACAGAATCCACTGGCACATTGATTGTGAACTTCCCAACTTCTGTAACTGTGAAAAATAAATGTCTGTTGTTTATCTATGGTATTGTTACAGCAGCCTGAGAAGACTAATACAGGGTTTTTTCTATCAACTGTTGGAAGGTTTGGCCTCTACTCACCACTTCAGGACCTCAACTAGCCCACCACACAACAGAAATAAAAACTACACTCCACTGAGGACTCATAGTTTCCTCAAGTCCCAAACTGCCTTACTCGGGAACTTTACACTTAACTGCCATCACCCAGTGGCAAAGAATCCTCCTGCAATGCAGGAGGCACAGGAGACACGGGTTCAATCCCCGGGTTGGGTAGATTCCAGGAGGAGGGCATTGCAGCCCACTCCAGTATTCTTTCTGGAAAATTCCCATGTACAGAGGGGCATGGTGGGCTATCATCCATGGGGTCGCACATGACTTAAGTGATTGAGCAGCCAGGCAGGGAGGGCCATCGTAAGGAATACCCTCCACTTCAACCATTCTTTTTACTTTACCTATAAGTCATAGAGAATATTTCAGTATCTTACTCATATGAGTGTAACTCATAAGCTCTAAAATTCTGTGAGTAGAGGCTGGATATTCTTTATATTAGCATCCCCAGTACTAGCACTGAGCCTTCCCAAGAGCAGATTCTCAACGTTTGATGAATAAAAGAGCCAGTAAACACAAGGTCTACTTTATTAACATTTACTTTCTCTTACTTTCTTGAAGAAGCTAAGAAACTCAGAGTATAGAATAATTACTATAACAAAGCTAAAGACTAAAAGGAACAAGAAAAACTAACATTGATCATGTTTTACTTTTTTTCTACTCCATTATCCTAACTATTTTACTATGGGATTCTTTCACATTTCCAAGAATATAATCCCTATTGTAATGTTATATTTTCATGCCTCGGGGAAAAAGCGTCACATTCTTCATTACGGGTGGGAAGACAATATTGAGCATGTCCCTGGGAGGTGTACTGACTTTGATAGTAGCGTCAGGCTTGGCTGCATCCATGCCTTGGGCTTTCTCTTCATCTCGCAAAGCTTCTTCATAATAAGTGGGGAAGTCAGTGGGAACAGCATTATTGACCTTTGCCAAAAATTCCAGGACTTTCATCTTGCTGGTTTCCAGATGTGCTTTTGGGCCCCAGAGAAACTCATAACGTGGAGGATCACTGTTGGCAACCTGGCGGTACTCCAGGTACTTCAGCCTCACTAAATCTTTGGTGATGAGCTTTCTGGGCTCTCCAAAGACGAAGTGCTTTCTTCCAGCATATACTCCCATCGTACCCAGGGATTTCCAGATGTCTTCCTCAGCAGCACAGTTGCCCTTCATGAAGATCATACCCAGGAGATTCATCAGGAGACCGGTCTTGGGAAACCCCCTTCCACCACGCACCCTCCCATTGTTGGGGAGTTTCAATTTGCTGACCAGATTATAGCAGGGAACGACTGAGTCGACTTCCTTCAGATCCACCGCAAAGACGAGCTCAATGCGTTCAGAGGCTCTCTTGAGAATCTCAGCAAGTCGGTCGTGGTGGCTTTCGTGGATAATCTTCAGTATGTCTTCCTTCATGATGAGCTGCTTCATTTTATACCTGTACAGAAGGTACTGCTCCAACAAGCTAGCTTTCCTGGTTAAACAGTCAGTTCCTGGGGTCTCAGTGAAGGGTGGGACCTCATAGAGAAACACCCTATGCTTATATTGGCCATCGAATGCTTCACTAGATCTAGTGCAAGAAAAGACTGCAGAAGTGGTGATGGCCGGTATTCTTTCAGGCTCCTGGGAAGTGCTACATGACTGAGCATCAGGCAGACTCTGGGTAACACCTTCACACTGAGGCGAGGAGGTAGTGGACTCCTCTTCTGCTGCTGCTGTGGCCTGAGCACCCCCACAACTCTGGGTCTTGCCTTGGGCTTGGGGTGGTTTATCACCGTGGGGTTTATCACCACCACGGGCCTTACTCTTCTTCCTTCGAGGCATGGTCAGGGACAGCAGGAAGGAGTGTAGACAGGAGCTCAGAAGACGTGGGCACCTGGAGGAAGGAGAATAAGATGCTGTAAGCACCTCAGCAGGGAGATTCCACCTTGGCTTTAATCAAGGCCACCTCTGCAGGGTACTTGGGGACACTGATCTAGGACCTCTCAAGGCTTCTGTTTTGATCAGCCTGTACCCTGAGAAAACTGCGGAGGATATCAGAACCTTAGAATGCAGCCTGCCAACCCTGCTAGGGGTATACTAGGGTGACAGCAGGGGCTGCCAGTAGGGAGCCTCTGTTCTGGGTTTGAGGGTATTCTCAGTTTATAGTCAGGGTCATCACAGACGTATAGTCAATTGTTGGCAGGTCTTGAGCCTCCTCTTTTCTGATGCTGTGAAGCTGACACCTCAAACCCAAGTCAGCACTTCCCTGAGACCCCAGAGGAGGAAGTGAAGGGGTTCCTTGGCCCTTCTCTCTGTCAGAGGGTACCCAACTGAGAGCTACGTGGAACCCACTCCTTCAGGGGCTGCTTGGGTCCTCAGTTCTCGTTAAGGATGCTCACCTAGTCTCCAGGCCGTATCTGGTATACCTCCCCTCTGCTGACTGGTGGCTCCAACTTCATACTAACCTCATACTCTTCTCTCTCAGATTTGATGTGGATTGTCAGCCTCAGCCTGACAGTCCTGCCCTGAGCCTGCAAGTTCGGAATGAAAAACGTGGGGCCGAGATTTTCTGTGATCTACTGTCACTCTGCTTATTTAACTTATATGAAATGCCAGGCTGGATGAAACACAACCTGGAATCGAGATTGCTGTGAGAACTAACAATAACCTCAGATACGTAGATGACACCACCCTTATGGCAGAAAGTGAAGAAGAACTAAAGAGCCTCTCGGTAAAAGAGGAGAGTGAAAAAGTTGGCTCAAAACTCAACATTTAAAGAAACTAAGATCACGGCATCCAGTCCCATCATTTCATGGCAAATAGATGGGGAAACAACGGAAACAGGGAGAGACTTTAGTTTCCTGGGCTCCAAAATCACTGCAGATGGTGATTGCAGCCGTGAAATTAAAAGACACTTGCTCCTTGGAAGAAAAGCTATGACCAACCTAGACAGCATATTAAAAAGCAGAGACACTACTTTGCTGTAAAGGTCCATCTAGTCAAAGCTATGGTTTTTCCAGTAGTCATGTATGGATGTGAGAGTTGGACTATAAAGAAAGCTGAGCGCCAAAGAATTGACGCTTTTGAACTCTGATGTTGGAGAAGACTCTTGAGAGTCCCTTGGACTGCAAGGAGATTAAATGAGTCAAACCTAAAGGAAATCAGTCCTGAATATTCATTGGAGGGACTGATGCTGAGGCTGCATACTTTGGGCACCTTATGCGAAGTACTGACTCACTGCAAAAGACCCTGATGCTGGGAAATATTGAAGGCGGGAGGAAAAGGGGATGACAGATGATGAGATGGTTCGATGGCATCACCAATTCGATGGATATGAGTTTAAGTAAGTGCCGGGACTTGGTGCTGGACAGGGAAGCCTGGCATGCTGCAGTCCATGGGGTCACAAAGAGTCAGACATGACTGAGTCACTCAACTGAACTGAACTGATTCAATGATTGGTAGTCCTCTCAGTCTTTCCTTTGACCCTTTGCATGGTCTGGGATTTCTGTCTTCCTGCCGGCCAACAACCCAGTAACATATGAGGGTCCCCCCACTTCCCCATGGTCTCTACGGTTGAGAATAGGGGATGGATTCTTTTGTACCCCCATACAACTCCTGGAAAGATCTGGAAATACTTCTACTGTGGGGGAATAAACTACCCCTTATAAACAAAATCTTTCACCTGCCCCAGGTGCTGCCTTCCTGCCTGGCCCCCGGCCCCCTATCCCTTCACCATTTCATCCTCGCGATACCGTAAGAGAAAATGAGTGCCCGTCATCACATCACCAGTTGCAAAGACACGCCAGGCTGCCAGCAGGGCAGGAATTCCCTCTGTCCTCACATAGGGTCCTCATTCCAACTCCTGGCCACCCTAGAATGCTTTCGTCTGCCTCCTTGAGGCCCCTCCCCTATAAAACCAACACCCTCACCATCTCAGAAACCCTCCTCAAAGTAGTCTGCCTGATTGCCCTGTCCGGGTCTTCCCAAGTTTGATGGAACCACAAGTCCCGTGCCACTTCACTGTTCTGGGGTTGAGGTCCTCTCAGACCTCACTCAGAGTTCCGTCCTCAAATTCCTTCAGGGCAAGGTGGTCTAGTTCCTAATCTATCATATAGAAAAGGAAGGCTCGCCTCTACCTGCCCGCCATGTTTGGGTCCTCTGAGAGCAACAAGCAGGGCCTTGTTTGGACTTTCTATCTGAGTTTCCTCACTCAGACCCTTATTAGGGTCTTCTTCCCCCTCTGAACTGGGGCCACCCACTTCAACCAAGGTCCTCACCTCCCAAAGAGCCTCTGAGGGGATATCTTCCTCCACCAGAGCGTCGGGGCTTTGTGAGTGCGAAGCACCGGGGAGGGAAGTTGGTGGGGGGTCTCCCATTCATTATTCAGGCTCCTCACCTTGACTCGGTTCCTGCTGGAGCCTGGAAACGCTCACAGGCCTGAGGCCTTGTGCCACCGCCGCAGGCACTCGCTCTTCTTCCTTCGCCGTCTAACCGGAAGTGAGCGCTAGCTACGACTTCGGAGGAAGTGAGCGCCTCACCATAGATGGCGCCTCGATCTCTGGCGCCCCCTCTGTTCTGGAGTGGAGGACACCCTCAGTTTCACATCAGCTTCTCAATTACGCTCCTTTCAACCAGGTCCTCACCTACGTGAGACCTTCCTTGCAGGAAGCTGCCTGATGGCACAGGTCTAAGACTAGGTAGGGGTTGTCCCTGCAGGCCTCTCTAAATGATCGGGTGGTGTTCTCCTCAGTAGTCCTACACCCGAGTCCGGTTTCAGCTCCTGTCTCTTTAATGAATGGCTTCCTTGTAAATGCCACATCCATGCAAACTCTTAAGTCCTGTCTCCACTGTGAGTCTTAAGGGCAATGGGTCTGTGTCCCAGGAATGATGTAAGATAGGAAAGCTGAAGTGCCAGGTAGAGAGGACTTAGATAGGAGTTGAGCTTTCAGAGAAAAAAGCAAAAAACATGCTGATTTATTTCTTCTCGGTACCACCCAGACTTGGCTTCCAATACAACTTCTGTTCTATGAGACTTGCATACTACAGAAGTGGGCTGAGCCTGATAATTTCGTGAGACCCCCATCTTTCACGGTTAACTGACACTGCACATGTAAATGATCATATTGTTACCAGGTAGTAACCTTCTTTTCATTATTTATACCCCTCACTTATTTTGGTTTTCTTATTGCCCTGGCTATGTATTTCAATCCAGTACTTTGGGCACACACTGCTTTTTATTTTTATTGTTCCTTCAATCACCTGAGATATCTTCCAGAATAGAGAGAAGAAAAGTGAGTAAAAACACGCAAGGTCAGCTTCGGGGCGGGAGTGGTAGAAAAAGAGTGTGCCCTCGAGAAATTCAGACCAGGAATCGAGTCTAGCTCTGTTACTTACCACCTTGTGAATATGAGAACATTGCAAGTTCTTCATCTGCCAAATGAATTTGATAAACCCTACCTTGTATGACTGTTGGAAAGTATGTATTGTGTATAAAGCACCCATCAGAATCCTGGCAAATATTGGGTGTTTCATGAATGGCAGTTAATATTTTCACCTAGACAATATCACCCTCCTATGTAGGAATGTTTTCTTAAATCCAGCATATGTCAGGGGAAGTGCAGCACTCTCAGACAGAACAATACCAAAATTTTGCTTTAGCAAGTAAAATTAAGTATCTTTTCCGTGTTAGAGCATTTATTATTTAATTTTGGTGTGGAGGTTTTTTTATCTTTCCACCTGGAAGCAACTCAAAGTTCCTGGAATTTTGTCATGTACCGACTCTTTTAGTCCTTTCCAGTTTCCCTTCTATCTAAATCGTGTCTATTTTTATTTGTTTCTTTCCCACCAAAATCTAGCCCTGTCTTAGAATTTGCCAAATTACCCAAGACAACCCAATGAAAATGCTCTTTTAGTGCGTTGGGATCTGGCTCTACCAATTCAAGGCAGAAAGTGTCAACAGAATGGCTCTTGTGCATCTCACCTGTTGGGTCTCAATGCAGATTGCCCCACAATATGCCACAGTGACATACTGATTACCATGTATTCAGGTTACTTAAGAAAAGGCCATTGCAGGAGTGATATTCTGACCCTCTTTTCTGTCTCCCTGAAAGCAGGAAATAACTCTGTCATATGGAGGTAGAAGAACACCCTTATAGCCAAAAGTAGAGAATTCACTCAGAGAAGTCTGTATACAGAAATGTCTTTAATTTACTACCCCAAGCTCAAATTCTGTTTAGATTCTTCATGAATTGAACACTCAAAACCTATGTTCACTTGTCCTGTCCACTCCTCAAAAATGTGTTGTTTCTAGGTCTAAAACATATAAAAGCTGCCTGCTTTGGCCACTTCTTTAGGTCCCATTTCTAGGACACCCTCGTGCACATGAATTACAATTTGTTTCTTCTTTTCCTGTTAATCTGTCTGTGTCAATTTTCTTATTAGTCCAATCACAGGAACCCAAGAGGCATAGAGGCATAAATTTCTCCCTCCCTGACAGTTGGCAAGCCAGCCAGGAGGTTGCTCATCCTGAGACTGCTGCTACTGAGAGATCCTGGGACATCTGACAAAGGCCACAGAAGGTAAGATATCTTATCGTGTCAGTCTCCCAGATCTCTACCTTCAAGTTCTGATGTGAAGGAAAGTAGGCAGAGTCCCTTTTTTTCTCTCTAAATTTAGATTAGCAGGAAATAATATTTGTGTAGCTAGTTCCTTGGACTTAGGGAAACTTAGGGATTCTTTTCTTCTCAAACATGGTCACTGTTTTGCTTTGTCTGTTGTGTCATTTGTCATAAGGAGAGAGAACCATAGGGCAGTACACAGGCATAGGCCCTGTAAGCCTGCTGTTCAAGCCATCCTCACAGAGTGGTGAGCTAGCAATTCTCACCAGACCTGCGTCTGTTTAGACAGACCTTGCTGTGGTTCCTGTAAGTAAAAACCAGATGAGATTTTACCTTCCATCTTCTTTTATTTTTTTTTTTTACTTTATTTTTTTTATTAGTTGGAGGCTAATTACTTTACAACATTGCAGTGGGTTTTGTCATACATTGACAAGAATCAGCCATGGTTTTACATGTACTCCCCATCCCCGTCCCCCCTTCCCACCTCCCTCTCCGCCCGATCCCTCTGGGTCTTCCCAGTGCACCAGGTCCGAGCACTTGTCTCGTGCATCCAACCTGGGCTGGTGATCTGTTTCACCCTAGATAATATACATGTTTCGATGCTGTTCTCTTGAAACATCCCACCCTCGCCTTCTCCCAGAGTCCACAAGTCTGTTCTATACATTTCTGTCTCTTTTTCTGATTTGCATATAGGGTTATCATTACCATCTTTCTAAATTCCATATATATGTGTTAGTATACTGTAATGGTCTTTATCTTTCTGGCTTACTTCACTCTGTATAATGGGATCCAGTTTCATCCATCTCATTAGAACTGATTCAAATGAATTCTTTTTAATGGCTGAGTAATATTCCATGGTGCATATGTACCACTGCTTTCTTATCCATTCGTCTGCTGATGGGCATCTAGGTTGCTTCCATGTCCTTGCTATGATAAAAACAGTGCTGCGATGAACATTGGGGTGCACGTGTCTCTTTCAGATCTGGTTTCCTCGGTGTGTATGCCCAGAAGTGGGATTGCTGGGTCATATGGCAGTTCTATTTCCAGTTTTTAAACAAATCTCCACACTGTTTTCCATAGCGGCTGTACTAGTTTGCATTCCCACCAACAGTGTAAGAGGGTTCCCTTTTCTCCACACCCTATCCAGCATTTATTGCTTGTAGACTTTTGAATAGCAGACATCCTGACTGGCGTGTAATGGTACCTCATTGTGGTTTTGATTTGCATTTCTCTGATAATGAATGATATTGAGCATCTTTTCATGTGCTTGTTAGCCATCTGTATGTCTTCTTTGGAGAAATGTCTGTTTAGATCTTTGGCCCAATTTTTGATTGGGTCATTTATTTTTCTGGAATTGAGCTGGAGGAGTTGCTTGTATATTTTTGAGATTAATCCTTTGTCTGTTTCTTCATTTGCTATTATTTTTTCCCATTCTGAAGGCTGTCTTTTCACCTTGCTTATAGCTTCCTTTGTTGTGCAAAAGCTTTTAAGTTTAATTAGGTCCCATTTGTTTATTTTTGCTTTTATTTACATTACTATGGGAGGTGGGTCATAGAGGATCCTGCTGTGATTTATGTCGGAGAGTGTTTTGCCTATGCTTTCCTCTAGGAGTTTTTTAGTTTCTGGTCTTACACTCAGATCTTTAATCCATTTTGAGTTTATTTTTGTGTATGGTGTTAGAAAGTGTTCTAGTTTCATTCTTTTACAGGTGGTTGACCAGTTTTCCCAGCACCACTTGTTAAAGAGGTTGTCTTTTTTCCGTTATATTCTTGCCTCCTTTGTCAAAGATAAGGTGTCCATAGGTACGTGGATTTATCTCTGGGCTTTCTATTTTGTTCCATTGATCTATATTTCTGTCTTTGTGCCAGTACCATACTGTCTTGATGACTGTGGCTTTGTAGTAGAACCCGAAGTCAGGCAGGTTTATTCCTCCAGTTCCATTCTTCTAAAAGAGCTCTATTTAATTTGCTTAAAAAAACTAGTGCTTATATATGTATTCCCCATCCCAGTCCCCCCTCCCACCTCCCTCTCCACCCGATAGTAGTAAACACCAACCCAAATATTTTTCAAGTTCACATGAGCTAGAATAATCTTCAATAAATAAAAGCTAAATTTAAGCTTACTGGTTTAATACAGGTATATCTTCAGAGTTAGCATAAAATAAAATATGGATAATCAACTTTTGTTCTACTGAGTTTACTAGTCAAATGAGCTAATGTCTCTGTTGCAACATTTGTTGGGAAGAAACAAACAAAAAAGAGTCAAAAGGTCTTAAGCTAATGACTAAATGCTTTAATGAGATGTTCATGAGTAATCACATTATGATTATTAAGAACAAAAGAATTAGATATAAATGAGATAGCAGTCTTTAAGTGAACTTTTTAACAATAATCATTTTGTGATAAGTCTACTCAAATTATTTCCTGAATCTCTTCGGTAATTTATACTCTTAGCTAAGTTAAATTAAGTGATGAATATTTATCGAATGTCTAGTCATTTCCAAATACAATAAAATACTAAAACATTAATTGGTGAACAAGTTTAAGTTTGCATATATTTTACCTCTTACTACAAGAGACTAAGTATGTTTTGGTTTATTAATAAATGTACCTTATGCTTTATTGAAAGATTATTCTATATATTTCTATAAATTATAAAGTGTATTTTTAAGTTTGCCAAGCCACAAAATGTTAATACAATTAAGAATTGTTTACTTCTTTATTTTCACTAAAAAAAAATGAAAATTAAAAGGATTAAGAAGGCTAATATGTGGTTAAAGCTACTGAATATAATAACAGAAATAGAATGTGTTTGGTGGTCATAAAAGTTATATGGTATGGAGATGTTTTTGTTAAGGAAAAAGAAAGTAGTTTTTTGTTAGGCTGGTTATTCCCAAATGGGAAAGAAACCAAGGCACAAACTAACATGGACATAGAAAATTGTAAGTTTTTTTGAAAAAAGAAATCTTTGGAAAGGAATTTTATGTGTGGTCAGGAATAAATATGATTGGAATCCATTTAATTAAGTAAATGAGTTTAAGTATCAAAAATAACCTGGTATAAAATTGCAATTTGGTTTTATCTCTGTTAAAAGGACAAACTGTCTTTTTTTCTATTGGTTTGTTCTTGGTAAGAAGAAATTATGAAAGTTTTTCTTTACCTTGAAGGAATCTGGCTATATATATATATATATATAGTATTTTGTCTTATCTTTATCAGGACATGATTGCTTAAGTAAACCTAGTCCTCTGGATGTTAAAAGAGCTAAATTTTATTCAGAACCATATAACCTGTATTTGCCTATGAAGTCTTTAATTGTTATTTTGGTTAAATGGATAACTAAGCATTTTTTCCCAGTGATCTATGTGACTAAGTGTTTTAAAGTCTCTTAGATATTTTTGACAAGCTTCCTCCAAGTCAAATTCTATATGATGTCTTTTTGACTTAGAACTAACTTTGAGGTATACGTTATTTCAGAGGGCCCCTGAAATATCTCAAAGATTTGTTCTCTCTCCTTATAAAAAGAGAGATATTAAACTAACTAAGCATATTGGTTTTGTTAAATTACATGGGAAGCATTGCCAAATAATAAGTAATGTTAAGGTTTTTCTACGTTGTGTCTGGCTTACCAGGTGGCTCAGACAGTAAAGAATCTGCCTGCAGTGCAGGAGATCTGACTTCGATCTCTGGGTCAGGAATATCCCCTGGAGAAGGGAATGGCTACCTACTCCAGTATTCTTACCTGGAGAATTCCATGGACAGAGAAGCCTGGTGGGCTACAGTGCAAGGGGTTGCAAAGAGTCGGACACAACCGAGCAACTCACACTTTCAGACTTGTATAGGTGTGTATTATAAGCGTTTCAGGAATTATTAGAAACTTTTGGAAGTCTTATATGTCCTGTAGTAGAGTGTTGTCTGTCATCAAAATTGAAGCTCACACTAAAAGGACTAAACCCAAGTATCAGAGAAACACTGAAGCTGACTTTTATGTACAGGCAGCAACCACAAATGAATCTGTGAACATTGTGGCACATTTAGATAAAGTCCATTTTGCTTCTGCCAAAAAGATTGACCCTTCATTGCCAGACTTTTGCCATCCTGATGTCTATTTAATATGGTGCCAGTCAGCTCCCGAATTGGAGAAAGTAAATGGGTAAACAATAGCTTTAAATTAAATAAATAGTTGAGGCTATGAGAAATTCAAGATGACCCCTTGGTTCCTCCCAACTTTCTAGCAACTCTTTCCCTGACCATCATTTCAGATGACTCAAATCATAGACACTGGTAGGAAGATTTTTATAAAATTGTGCAAACAGTCTACCAGCAATGTCTATCCTGCCAGGTCCATAGTTCTGGGAAGGAAAGGAAAGCAGATTTTTGCCCTGAGAGGCCTCAGACCTCCTTTCCGTGGACACTTTGAGCATCTGCAACAAAATTTCATTTATTTGCCACTTAGTATGAGTCACAAATATTTGCTACTTAGTATGAGTCACTTAGTATTGCCACAGCCAGTCCCTTCCATCAGGAAGCTTCCACAAGCCTCTTAACCTTGTCCATCAAAGGGCAGACCGAATGAAAACCACAGTCACAGAAAACTAACCAAGCTGATCACATGGATCACAGCCTTGTCTAACTCAATGAAGCTGTGCAGGGACACCCAAGACAGACAGGTCATGGTGGAGAGTTCTGACAAAACATGGTCCACTGGAGAAGGGAAAAGCCAGCCACTTCGGTATTCTTGCCTTGAGAACCCCATGAACAGTATGAAAAGACAAAAAGATATGACACTGAAAGAGGAACACCTCAAGTCGGTAGGTGCCCAATATGGTCCTGGAGATCAGTGGAGAAATAATTCCAGAAAGAATGAAGAGACGGAGCCAAAGCGAAAGCAACACCCAGTGGTGGATGTGACTAGTGATGAAAGTAAACTCTGATGCTGTAAAGAACAATATTGCATAGGAACCTGGAATGTTAGATCCATGAATCAAAGTAAATTGGAAGTAGTTGAACAGGAGATGGCAAGAGTGAACATGAACATTTTAGGAATCAGTGAACTAAAAATGGATGGGAATGAGCAAATTTAATTCAGATGACCATTATATTTCCTACTATCTGCAAGAATCTTAAAGAAGAAATGGAATAGCCCTCATAGTCAACAAAAGAGTCTGAAATGCAGTACTTGGGTGCAGTCTCAAAAAGGACAGAATGATCTCTGCTCATTTCCAAGGCAAACCATTCAATACAACAGTAATCCAAGTCTATGCCCCAACCACTAATGCTGAAGAAACTGAAGTTGAACAGTTCTGTGATGACTACAAGACCATCTAGAACTAAAACCAAGAAGATATGTCCTTTTCATTATAGGGGGTTGGAATGCAAAAGTAGGAAGTCAGGTGATACCTGGAGTAAGAGCAAGTTTGGCCTTGAACTCCAGATTGAAGCAGGGCTAACAGTTTGGCCAAAAGAACGCACTGGTCATAGCAAACACCCTCTTCCAACAACACAAGACTCCACACATGGACATCACCAGATGGTCAATAACAAAATCAGGTTGATTATATTCTTTGCAGCCAAAGGTGAAAAATACCTATATCATTAGCAAAAACAAGACTGGGAGTTGACTGTGGCTCAGATGATGAACACGTTATTGTAAAATTCAGGCTCAAATTGAAGAAAGTAGGGAAAAGCTGTAGGCCATTCAGGTATGACCTAAATGAAATCCCGTATGATTATACAGTGGAGGTGACAAATAGATTCAAGGGATTAGATCTGGTAGACAGAATGACTGAAGAACTATGGATGGAGGTTTGTAGCATTGTACAGGAGGTGGTGATCAAAAGCATCCCCAAGAAAAAGAAATTCAGAAAGGCAAAATGGTTGTCTGAGGAGTCCTTACAAATAGCTGAGAAAAGGAGAGAAGCAAAGGCAAAGGAGAAAAGGAAAGATATATCCATTTGAATGCAGAGTTCCAAAGAATAGCAAGAATAGATAAGAAAGCCTTCCTAAGTGATGAGTGCAAAGAAATAGAGGAAAACAATAGAAGGAGAAAGACTAGAGATTGCTTCAAGAAAATTAGAGATACCAAGGGAACATTTCATGCAACAATGGGCACAAAAAGGACAGAAACAGTGTGGACATAACAGAAGCAGAAGCTATTTAGAAGAGGTGGCATGAATACACAGAAGAACTGTACAAAAAAGATCATAATGATCCAATAACCACGATGGAGTGACATCCTGAGTGACATCCTAGAGACAGACATCCTGGAATGTGAAGTCAAGGGGGCCTTAGAAAGTACCACTACAAACAAAGCTAGTGGAGGTGATGGAATTCCAGGTGAGCTTTTGCAAATCTTGAAAGATAATACTTTAAAGACAAGCACATACGGCTGGACAGCAAACATGGAACGGATCATGAAGGCTCAAGCTCTGAGAGACAACTCAACGATGGGTTACATGGCAGCCAAGAAGCACCTGGAGATCAACCCTGACCATTCCATCATCGAGACCTTGAGGCAAAAGGCAGAGGCTGACAAGAATGACAAGTCTGTGAAGGATCTGGTCATCCTGCTGTACGAAACCGCTCTTCTGTCTTCTGGCTTCAGTCTGGAGGATCCCCAGACACACGCCAACAGGATCTACAGGATGATCAAGCTTGGTCTCGGTAATAAGCTGAACCAACTTGATTGGAGTCGCTGTCCATACATAGGGCTTGTTTTCCAAAGAAAAATATTGTTTAGAGTAGCAAACTTATAAGCCTGCTCAGGCATGTTGTAAAGCCGCTGGAAAAGTAACTTAGAGCAAGTTTTGTGAATGGAAATGTAGTGCTCAAGTCACATTCTGCTTTAAAAAGTTGTAACAAATACAGATGACTTAAAAAAAAAAAATAAAGTGCTACACTCAATATGCCAGTAAATTTGGAAAACTCAGCAGTGGCCACAGGACTTGGAAAAGGTCAGCTGTCATTCCAATCCCAAAGAAAGGCAATACCAAAGAATGTTCAAACTACCACACAATTGCACTCATCTCACATGCTAGCAAAGTACTGCTCAAAATTCTCCATGCTAGGCTTCAATAGTACATGAATCAAGAACTTCCAGATGTCCAAGCTGGTTTTAGAAAAGGCAGAGGAAACAGAGATCAAATTGCCGACATCTGTTGGATCATAGAAAAAGCAAGAGAATTCCAGAAAAGCATCTACTTCTGCTTTATTGACTACCCTAAGGCCTTTGACTGTGTGGATCACAACAGAATGTGGAAAATTCTTAAGAGATGGGAATACCAGGCCACCTAATCTGCCTCCTGAGAAATCTGTATACAGGTCAGGAAGCAACAGTTAGAACTGGACATATAACAATGGACTGATGATAAATTGGGAAAGGAGTACATCAGGCTGTATGTTGTCATCCTGCTTATTTAACTTGTATGCAGAGTACATTATGTGAAATGCCAGGCTGAATGAAGCACAAGCTGGAATCAAGATTGCTAGGAGAAATATCAATAACCTCAGATATGTAGATGGCACTGCTCTTATGCCAGAAATCGAAAAGAAACTAAAAAGCCTCTTGATGAAAGTGAAAGAAGAGAGTGAAAACCTGTCTAAACACTCAACATTCAAGAAACTAAGATCATGTCATCCTGTCCCATCACTTCATGGCAAACGCATGGAGCAACAACAGAAACAGTGAGAGACTTCATTTTCTTAGGTTACAAAATCACTGCAGATGCCTCCTGAGAAATCTGTATGCAGGTCAAGAAGCAACTGTTAGAACTGGACATGGAACAAGAGACTGGTTCCAAGTCGGGAAAGGGGTATGTCAAGGCTGTATATTGTTGCCCTGCTGATTTAACTTATATGCAGAATACATCAGGAGAAATGCTGGGCTGGATGAAGCACAAGCCTGAATCAAGATTGCCAGGAGAAATATCAATAACCTCAGATATGCAGATGACACCACCCTTATGGCAGAAAGTGAAGAAGAACTAAAGAGCCTCTTTTTTTTTTTTCATTTATTTTTATTAGTTGGAGGCTAATTACTTTACAATATTGTAGTGGGTTTTGCCATACATTGACATGTATCAGCCATGAATTTACATGTGTTCCCCATTCTGGACCCCTCCTCCCACCTCCCTCCCTTTCCCATCCCTCTGGGTCATCCCAATGCACCAGGCCTGAGCACTTGTCTCATGCATCCAACCTGGACTGGTGATCTGTTTCACACTTGATAACATACATGTTTCGATGCTGTTCTCTCAGATCATCCGAACCTCACCTTCTCCCATAGAGTCCAAAAGTCTGTTCTATACATCTGTGTCTCTTTTTTTGTCTTACGTATAGGATTATTGTTACCATCTTTCTAAATTCCATATGTATGTGTTAGTATACTGTATTGGTGTTTATCTTTCTGGCTTACTTCACTCTGTATAATGGGCTCCAGTTTTATCCATCTCATTAGAACTGATTCAAATGTATTCTTTTTAATGTCTGAGTAATATTCCATCGTGTATATGTACCATAGCTTTCTTATCGATTCGTCTGCTGATGGGCATCTAGGTAATGAAATTAAAAGACGGTTGCTCCTTGGAAGAAAAGCTATGATCAACCTAGATAGCATATTAAAAAGCAGAGACATTACTTTGCCAACAAAGTCTTATCTAGTCAAAGCTATGGCTTTTAAGCATCTAGCATCCCTAGATGTGGGAGGAGCTGCAGGACTTGGTCCTGGAAGGGGCACTGGCCTCAGCCATGGTTGGAGCCCTGGCTGCACCTCTCAGCCCTGCTCTCTCCAACTGATCTCTCAGATCTCTCAGGTCTCCGGATAGAAGTCTGGGAAGGAACTTGGGACCATATCCTGGATCTTGGCCAGAATTTCCAGCACCTTTGTCACCTTTGTCTTAAAGATCATCTTGGCTGAGCAATGTGCACGTACACCTGGGAGGATCCTGAGATATACCAAATATGGACTCAGAACCAGACAAATAAAAATGTTTGGCCAAAGGAAACCCAGAAGAAATGCCCCATAAAGCTGATTCAAACTACCATGGAGGTGAGGCTCTCTCTGGGTCCCCCTGTGTGTCTATCCACACAGTACTGCACTCTTTTTTTCCTAATAAACACATGTCTCAATACTTCCTGAAGGAAAGTTACACGGCTCAAAAGAGCCTAGAATTAAAACTCCCTTCCAGGCCCTCCCCACCATTCTATGCAAAACAAAGAACTCTCTCACCAGAAGGAAAAAATGGACATTAAGTTTGAATAACGCCCAGCTCCCAGCTGGTCACAGCCTCTGGCCAATCTCCAGAATTCCTTGCCCCAGCTGTTTAAGAGATAACTGCTCCGAACAACCTTGGAGAAGAACAGGCCCCCTTAAGACAGTAGATTTCCACCTATGTGCCTATATATACTTACTCTTTTCTTGGGTTAGTGCAGCAGCTCACTAATCTGACTGATGCCCCTTCTCACCTCATTAAAGGTGATCTGTTTCTGTAAAGTGCTGGTCTCGTTCTTTTTCCCAACCTCGCCTTCTCTAACTAACTCCCTTACCCTACACTTTCCGTCTTTGTGGGAATTCTTTTCCGAAAAAGCAAAGGGCCAAAGCCTTGTCCCTGACCGCTGGTCTAGTGGCTAGGATTCAGTGCCCTCACCACCTAGATTCTGCCTCAATTTCTGATCTGGAACTGATGCCCAGCTTCAAGCTGCTGCAGGCTAAGGCCACCTGAGATGGGGCGGGGCTGCCTCATAGGGATCTCCTCGGTTGAGTGGGGTGGAGAGAAGAGTTCTCCCGAGGCGGGAACAGCCACAGGTACCCTTCAGATCTCAGTGCTGGATGCATCATCTCTCCACGACGGCCGTAGCCATCTTGAATGAGAGTGTCAGGCCTGCATGAGACCTGCAGAGCTGAGGTGTCAGAGCAGCCCTTTCTCACTGACCACCCAGGTCTGAGGAGCCAGGTGGAAGAGCTCTGCACATGGTCCCCTATGAGCAAGCGGAACTAGACCAAGCACAAAAGCAAAGGAAAAGAAGGTTAGACTTTGTTATTCAGATTTTATTTTTATTTCCTGGGCTTTGTTAATGGGCTGTGCAGATGAAACCACCTTTCATCCCGCTCCTAGTCCTCGAAGGGCGCTGAGGGGTGCCAGTCAAGTCCGTCTTGTGTAACTGCTCCCTGCTGCGTGTGGTCATCCGTCTTGACTGCGGGTGGAGGAACAGAACTCCCGACGCTTCAGTTCTGTCAGCTCGGCCTCAGTTGTTTGTAGCTCTGAGCGATGCCCAATTTAAGATACATGGCCCAAATTTCAGCAAGAGAACAATGGGCACATGGCCAAGTTTTCCTAAAAATGAAGATCTGAAAAAAAAATTAAAAAAAAAATAAAAATGAAGGTCTCTAGTTCTTTTGCCCAAAGGCAAAACTGTGCCTTGGTGTCGAGGCTCACCACTGTGGCCTGAATCTCCCTGCTCATGCTTTTGTGGGTTTTCTGCAGAGAAGCTTCAGGTCAGAGAGAGGGTCACATGAGTAGTCGGGGGGGGGTGTCGTTGCCTCAAGTTGGGGCTGGGGGGCCTCTTCACTCAAATGCAAAGTCCCCACAGAGTGAGCCCTGCAACTTCAGGGTGTAATGGGTGGTTAGGATCACCAAGTAGTGTCTGTTCTTCTTAAGAGTGAGTTGGTTTGTGGCTGCAGGTTTTCCCAGTGTTTAGGTTCACCCAGTCTCCTGGCTGGATGGGGTGGAGGCCCGGGTTGGTGGATGCGGTCAGCATCTGGTTACTATATTCCAGTGAGAGATTTCATGGTTTCTCCTACCTGGAGGGCATACTTGGGTTGTTCCACTCCAAGTCCATTCCTTCCCTTGGGCTTGGGGAATGGCTCTACTATGAGTTAGTGAAAATCGCTCAGTTGTGTCCGACTCTTTGCAGCCCCAGGGACTATACAATCCATGGAATTCTCCAGGCCAGAATACTGGAGTGAGTAGCCTTTCCCTTCTCCAGGGGATCTTCCCAACCCAGGGATCGAACCCAGGTCTCCCATGTGGCAGGAAATTCTTTACCAGCTGAGCCACAAGAGAAGCCCCCTATACACGAGTTCAAATATACTTAACTGTAGCTTATCCCTTGAACTAATAATGGCACTGGAAGCAGGGTCATTGAAAGCAACTTAATCCAATTTTTTTGCGTTTCCTGACATGACTTGGCTAAGGCCTATTTCAAGGTCTGATTGGACCTCTCTGCTTTCCCCAGTGATTGGGGTCTTGAGGCTGAGTGCAAGGTACATTTTATGATCAAGGCCCTTTGTCATTTGAGACACAAATTCTGAACCTTTATCACTTTAGGCACTTCAGCTGCCATTTCAGTTCTAGCAGGGAATGCTTCTGTCTACCCAGAAAACGTGTCTACTAGCACCAGGAGATACCTGAAATTGCTCAGGACTCTTGGCATGACAGTGAAATCAACCTTCCAGTGTTCTCCAGGATATGTCCCCCTGGTTTCCATGGACCTTATCTGGGAGCTTCTGGGGAGTCTGGTGTTGGAGTTGTTTATTGTGCAGATGAGGCATGTCTCATCTCTCCAACTGAGTATATTAATACTAATTCATGCCAGGAGTTACCATGACTTCAACTGATCAATTGTATAAGGCTTCCTTCCCGTAGTGAATTCCTTGATGAGCATCCCTGATGGCATGACACATGCAGTTTGGAAAAAGAACTATTGCCCATGTTTATTAACTAGCCACCCATGGGCTTCTAGATCTCTAATAAAGTTC